GAAGAGATAATGGATGTTTTGCCACAAATCAAAGTAACGTAAATATTTCGATTCTTCGGAAAACATTCATTATTTTTTCTCATTATGCTTAAAGTAATATTTGCTTGAACAACCATTTCACCTGCTCTCAAGCAAACATCTTGTGTTATTTCTTTTATTTTTAACCTAAAATTTTATGTATAAGTAATAATGTTTCGTAACACTACGAACGATCCATGACGATCCTTCGCGATGCAGTGGTCTCATGAAATAAAGAAACGTATTCGTGCTAGTAACACACGCGAATTTCGGACGAATAAATCTTGCTTGTATTTTGTAGATATAATAATACTTTGTTTCATAATAAACAATTTGTCAAGTGTCATTTACTGTTAGTCGTGCATGTTTCAGTCGGGCAAATCTTGATTAATATTTGATACGCCGTTTTTTGCATATTTCAGACACACAGACACATCCAGAAATATGCTCCCGATTTTAAAGATTAATATCTCCGTGAATTTTTAAGTGAAATACAACTGTAATATATCAAAATCTAAATTAGTCCTTCCTCTATTTGATGCAAGTTATTTCTCTTTAAAAGCTTTATTTGTTTAGAAGTTATTACGAATCAAACAGGAGTACTTTTTTTTGGGACACCCGGTATATATATATATATATATATATATATATATATATATATATATATATATATATATATATATATATATATATATATATATATATATATATATATATATATATATAAGATGAAAATGTTCTAGAGTGTGTATTATGGAAATTATATAATACACACTCTAGAACATTTTCATCTTAACATATTACAGAGTGTACAATTACACAACTAATATATATATATATATATATATATATATATATATATATATATATATATATATATATATATATATATATATATATATATATATATATATATATATATATATATATATATTCACTTTATTGCAATTTAATTGACCATTCGCGTAATAGACTAAATTTTGATCTAAATTTCACCACAGCTTTAAAGAGCATCACAAAATTAGTAATATTCCAAAGTTTCGTTGCGAAATCTTGTAAAATGTGAATAATATAGCCTTGCGAAGTTTGCAATTTTCAGTCATTTTAGATTACAAGCGGGAAATGGAAACGGAAATTGTATTTTGTGCATGAGTATATTTGTGGAAGTGGGGTGGTGGTTGGCATACAATCACATATTTTATGAATAAAATATGATGGGGTGTAATGCTAGCCACACACCTGGCGAGGGTGTAGGGAGTTGTAAAATTTTGGCAAAAGCAGGGTCACGTATTTTGTAAATGGCCCTTACTCAAAATTATTAATAACTATTTAAAAGCTAATAAAATCGGGACATTAAACCTCAGATATAACTACTCATGTTTAGCCAATGCTGAAAACATACGGCTATTTTGAGTTTTAGCCAATTTAACGATATGTGGTTAAAGGCAGCAATGTATATATACATTTCACATCCTGTCATAAACTTATATGCACAATCTTTTGCAAATTAAAATATAAAGTTAAAACATTTCATCACTGTGAAGGTAGCCGCGGATTGGGCACCATATTCGGCCTCAGATTGGGTTTCGGATTCGGTCTCACATTCAACTGTATTGAATTATTCAAAAGTAGATTATTTGAACCCCTTTTTCTGGCTACGTTTAAGGTGTTGAAACGCAATATTTAACACTGGATATAATTATGCCAAATTTAGGTTAATATATCTCATTGCAAACCCTAGCTCTTTGCAAACTAAATGCGAATCGTTTACGAAGTATACTATAAGCTAAATTGATTTTTAAAATTCATTTTTAATTAAGTACAGCAAGGAAAATTGCCAAATTAGCCATATTCTTCAATTTAAAATCAGATCACTAATGTACAAAAGTAGTTACATGGTTAACACCACAAAAGCGGATGGAAATAGCCTATAACCTCCTGGTAATTAAATAACGTGCGTGCTAACTCAATAGTTACCGTCTAAAATTCATCGTTATTCTCAATTTGTATAACAAAACTGCAAGTCAGATTGTGAGTAAGTGAGATTTGCTATATTTTTGCAACGATTTGTTTCGCTAACAAATTGGCGGTCGGACTATCGGCGCGTCCAGCGACGTATAGTCAGCTCGATAATTGGGGACGTCCATATTTATATATTCGTGTTCTGCATTATTAATTTATTTTCAAATCGATTGTTTTTAAGGTCTGTGAACAAGAATATATGAATATGGACCCCCCCCAAATTATCGGAGCTTGCTACGCCGCTGCAAGCGACATGAAATTATGAGATCTTACTTTCAATCAGTATGAAGAATAATAAATTATTTCTTTATACAGATATCCCGTGCCCCTGTGGTTGGGAGAAAATTTTGAATAGCTGTTACCTGTTTGTGGAGGACACGGTCACTTGGGACACAGCTCGCGCAGATTGTCTGCATGCAACGTGGTGGAGACCTAGTCATTCCAACCAACACAACAGAATGCGATCTTCTCAGTCAGCGTGCTTCGAACCTTGAAATGAGTATTCCGTGGATCGGTCTATTCAGGTACCTTAATTATAAACACGATGCATAAAGAAAGTTATCCAACTTTAATCCTATTACATAAGTTCTTTGTATGTTTGCATGGCGATAAAATATAATAGTTTTGTTTGTGGAAACACCACGTAAATATAAATTTAAAGCTTTGCAGTAATAAATTTACGTGGTGTTTCCACAAACAAAACTATTATATTTTTTAATCCTATTATTCTTTCACCCTAAAAATTTCAAGCTTTTAGCTTTCAAGAACATCTTTTCTGTTTGATTGCAATCAAAACATACCTAATTTTAGTGTGCAGTGATAACCAATTTGTGCACTGATAAAAATGAAATGTGCAGTGATAAAATTTAAAATGTGCAGTAATAAAATTTGCTGTGATAACTGATTGTTAATTTTATGAAGACAATGAGGCAATGAGCCGAAAAACTGAACTAAAAACTCGTCTTGTTACTAGAAAGTATTAATAATCAAAACATTTTGAATGAGAATAACTTGAATGAAAGTTGAAATAATAACTGCCAAATTATCGAACGTCAGCACTATAATAATATACTTAAGGCTCATCATATGAACAAAGTCTCCCATCAAAGATCTCTTTATGAGCTTGAATGTTGGAGTGAATGATACTTGTGTAGTGTATAATCTTCAGGATTCTACGTACTAGATAAAACATGAGCAGCCGATCTTTATCTGATATACAAACTCGAGCCGAAGGCGTGAGTTTATAGATCAGATAAAGATCGGATGCGAATGTTTAAAAAGCGACCCATCTTATATGAGTTCATTGGCGAAGTAATTTTAAAAATAAATATTGTCTAAGCCGAGAAAATCAAAGTTAAAGTTTATGCATGTAAATCAGGACAAATGTGTATCCGATTTACAAACATTGATTAAACATTCATTTCTTTTGTATTTTTCTCATGAATTGTTAATGAGTTTTTTAAAGAATGATACACGCACATTGAAAAAAGGCCCTGTGAGAGAGGCTAGATTACAAAATTTTCTATGGGTGCATGCCCCTGGAACTCTTTCACAGTTTGTCACATCTAAGCCGCCTTATTATTTGCCAATACGAAAATATTTCGTTCCTGCAAGCATATGATTATCAAACTATGTTGTCATAGAAAGTCGTAACAGCAGGTGCTGTCAAGGCCGCCCAGAAGGAGGGGGCAATTTGCGCTGGATCCCAGTTAAATGTGGCCCAAAAAAACAATTACATTGAAATATACATATAGGCATAACTGCCAACAAACTTTCAGAATGCAGGATTTGGCCATTTCTGGGAGCTGAGATTTCAACAATTTCCCGGGGAGAATGCTCCCCGTTCCTCTGAATCATGAGGGGAATCAGGAGGGGCCACAACTCAATTTTTGCAATGGGCTCCCAAATTTCCTTGGGGGCTCTGGGCGCTTTGCAGTGCATGTTGATTTTGGGATCATTTTATATATCAATTGTAGCCTGTCTTTTGGTTACACATTGTGAAAGTGTTCACAAATTTTGAGGGCGTGACTTCCGCTCGGCTAAACTTTGCACAACAATGTGCAGTGATAAAAAATTCCTAAAATTAGGTATGAATCAAAATCGCACTTTTCATCCCTTCGGAATTGAATGCAAAGCTATTATTACCTGGGTGTTAAAATTATTCTCATTTTGGTTGCAATAAAGACAGTATGCGGACGGGATGATAATTGTACATTTAAATTTCAAATGGCGATTTAACAACGAGTTTTAGTTCACTGCAGTAATATAAATTGTTGTCAAATTATTAATGATTCATTAATGGTTTGAAATAATTAATGCGTGCATGGTTAAGCTTGTGAAATGAGCATCGAGAAATAAACTCAATTAACCCACGGAATCTGACTGACTATTCAATTATAACTATGATCAATGTAAAGGGAACAAATTATGACTCAGATCAATATATAGGGAACGTTGCAAGTGATACATACATGCATGCAATGCATTCATGCATTGTGCATGTTCCATTTCAATGCAATGTCATCATTTCACTTTTACCTATATGACCGTATTATTCATCATTGTAATACCCGACGCATGAGCGGATATCTAAGGTCTAAAGTTGCCTCGGGCTATTTTCATTGCCCTAGAAAACCTAACGCTTCATGCACGGAGCGTCTAATTGTTCGGTATAATATTGAAAAATTGCGTAACATTAGCTAAATACTGTAGCAAATAACTATTTGCCACATGAGCTTAATTGGCACTAAAAATATTCATAAATTAAATTATGGAAAAATTTTTGGCGCTTTTTACAGGCGATATGATGGAAAATTTTACAACACATGTGGAAAGACACCAAGCTTCACACGCTGGTATCCGGGCCAGCCTGATGATTATGCAAACAGTGAAAATTGTGGCCACATGCTTGTGAAGGGGGTGTATGAAGCAAAGTGGAATGACGTCGCTTGCGACTTCAAGTATTCATACATATGTGAATTTAAACAACCCAGATGTGAGTATCTAGCGAAGATTCTTCGTTTCAAAGCCAGTAGTATGGTTCGGAGACATCCATCGCTCGAAACGTTGAAGATTTGTTATCGGTATAGTTTGATCCTGCAGTAAAAATCTGCAATTTTTTTTCTGACTGGGAGGCAAGTCTGATTCCTGCATGGAGCGGTGTTATATATATAGTTAAAAGGCCCCAAACAGGGCAATAGTTTAATTCTTCCAGTCTTATGGCTACACACGTTATGATCCAAGCGTAATTTTACACTGACGAGGAACGCTTCATCGGCATCATTTGGATGCGCAGTCGATACTGTGAATTGGCTTACATTTTTATATTGCGCATGCAAGCCACATGAGCATTGCATTTACCGATTATACAACTTCTCTGTCACGGTCTCATGCAGCTTCTTGTTTGCCCTTCTCCCATATATTATGATGGGAAATTTTGAATATTTATGATAGTCAAAGAATATTTACGATATTCAAAACATTTTAAAGAGGGTCCTGAAGGGGGGGGGGAGGGGGTCCCAATCCCATTTCCCACCTGAAATTTTGGCAAAATCCCAGTCCCAGTTGGATTTTTATTAGAAATCCCAGTCCATGCAGTTATTGAAATCCCAGTCAATAAAAAACCCTTTATTTATCGGTAGAATAAACAGTTTTAAGACTTTTTAAATCACCGTGTGTGAAATATTGGGGAGGGGATTCGTGCCGAAGGCACGGAAAATTTTAAAATTTGAATCCCGGAAATGGCATTTGCAGCATTCGGAGACACGCATAATCAGACAACCCACAATTCCGGGCGTCATAGTATGCCTGTTCGCAGGTAGTGCTGTGAATAATATAGTTATTAACAACAAAAACCATGACCAAAGACACCAAAAACAGATCAAAATTGGGAATCGACTCACATTACTTCAATCACATTCCCATTTTTGAGAACTTCATTTCCCATTCCCAGTGGCCAAATCCCAGTCCCAGCAACCCAAATCCCATTTTCCCAGTCTAAAAATAGATCAATCCCAGTTCCCATTTTACCCCTTCAGGGCCCTCTTTAAAGGCTAGCTGTGTATTGCCTTAGTAAAATCACCTCTGCTAGCTTCAACAGCGAGAAAGGCCATGAAGGTGAAGTTTTCCCCCTCTAAATGTTTTAAATATCACAGATATGTAAAATTTCCAATCACAATATGGGCACATTAACATTAGTATGTCATATTCCTTCGGCCTCAATATTTCCGAAATATACATTTTTTGTTCCAAGTATTCATATTCCTACTAGAAATATTCCTCTAGTTAAACTAATTCAAAATCCACTATTCATTCCTGATTCAATCACGGTAAAAAAGTCCATAAAAACTCATTTCTACAACAGTTAAACTTCTGTTGGACGCTATAATACATAGAACTCGATTTTTATCTATTGAAAAGTGATTTTAAACACCTAAGTCTTAAGGTTGTTCGATATAGTTTTCTAAAAATGGAAAATTCACGATTTAGATCCGTATTTTGGAGAATAGACTTTATGCATAATGACGTCACAAGGCTTGATGCCCGCGAGGAATGCCGGAAAATTTCGATAGTGGTCATTTTGAATTGTTTAATTTTCTTGGGCGATGACTACTAAGACCAGCATTCTTCGCGGGAACAAAGTTATTACGACTGACGTTCCAAAATGGCGGGTATTTTGACTTTAAAGTATTTTAACTCGTAAACGACATTACTTTAAAGGCAAAACTTCCGCCATCTTGAAATGTCATCGTTGCCAATAGCAACGTCACTTGGTGTTGTTTTACATCTGTGAGATACTTTTTGTTTTCCAACATGTAATAATTGTCCAAAAATGTGGATTTAAATCGTGAATTTTTCATTTTTTTTTAACTATATGGAGCCACAGTATACATACTCTTTTACTATGTTATCGTGTATGACTAATTACGTCTTTTTCTTTTAATTGAAAGGTGACTGAAGCAACAGAACTGTCGACTGATATCATGAAACTCAGTTATAGTATAGCAATATCTCTTGTGAACTATGTAGTTATTCAGATATTTGTAGAATAATTTTGTTTCCTGTAAAAGATACCTGATTAAATGTTTGATTTGACAACCGAGCTAAAGAGTCTCTAAATTTCCTAACGTTCCTCAATCCTCATCCCTACACCTCTGCCTCTGGGCCAAGCTGCGTTTCTCTTCGCACCGTGGTAGCATTCCCTTCCATACGCCCTTTCAAATATGAACCTTTTGCTTTTTCAGTAACGTGCTCACGAAAGTGGTTGAAAATTAAACTTTTACCGACAAAAAAGCAATATCAACAAATTAACATAGTTGTATAGAAGGGAAAAAATGGGGGGGAGGGGCAGCAAGAAATTTGCCAGTCTTATTTGCATTTTGCCCCACTTATAAAAAAATTTCCGGATAAAATTCCCAAAATGTTTGTCGATGGGCGGGGGATTAGAAAAATATTCTTGCATTTCAATATTTTCCCACGCCTTTTCGTCCAACTTACGTTATAATTTGCCCAACTTTACGGTTTACTGGGACAGCTCCAGTGGCGTAGCAAACTCGATAATTGGGGGGGGGGGGGAAGCAATATTCATATATCCGTGTTTTGCATCATTAATTTCTTTTGAAATCAATTGTTTCTAAGGTCTGTGAACATATTGCCCCCGCCCCCAATTATCGAGTTTGCTACGTCACTGGACAGCCCCTCCCCTTTTCCCACCCCGCCATCTTTCCTTTGCTATTCCACCATACTGTGATTCCACGAGGGCTCCAGTGCACATCCAGAAATTGAACGACCGAGCTCAACTTGACAGTTTGCCGATGGTGGTTTAATATATGCAGGGAAGCGAAAAATATAATTAAATCCTGT